TGCAGCAGCTCTGGCCAACACTCCTGCTGCAGAGGAGTTTGCGCAGAAACCTCTCCTTGTTAATAAGGAACTACATTGAAGTCATATAAAGTGATACTGTGAAGAGCTTTAGTTATGCTGAAGTTTAAGACTGCGCTTGTTAAGATACCAGTCTTACTGCGGTGGTTAGTACCCCCACCCCCCCCAAACGCACACACTCATGGTCAAACTCCTAACCACGTGTTACAGTTTCATTTTCGTAATAAAAATAAGTCCAAACATTTAAGAGGATTTTCCACAACATTGAAAGTCAGATAAATACTCATTCTTTCTTGTTTGTGTCTCAGTTAACAAAGTTCTCAGCATAAAATGGGCGCTTTTAGGGAACTAGTAGTTAATTTTCTTAAACGGGCATAAAAATAAGCTTTTTAAAAAAAAAGTTGTAAAATGGATACTGTAGAAGACTAGACTTTTGATTTGGTTATTTCATCTTGAACACTGATTTCTTAAACTTTTGATAGTTTTTCATGATGATGTCTTATAAAGTGTTAGACTTCCTTTTGCCTTGCAGTAGTTCTTTACAAATCCCTAAGATCAGTTTGCAGCTTGAAGTTAAGGCGTACATAAAATGGAATTCCTTTGGGTGGAAGAACAGAAGAATTTAGTACATTGAAGTTTCTTCTTTCTGTCTGCATTTGAGCAGTCTTAAGCTGTTAACTGGTTACTATTTCAATTAAAGCCACACCTCATTAAGTGTTAAGCTCAGAATGCTGTCTAAAATATTAGGAATCATTGTTTTCATGTAAATATGTTCTGGTTTGGCTCAGAATGTTCACAGATAATTTTGGGTAGTTCTGTGAAATTTTACGACTGTGATTTGTATTAAAAAGTGTTTCATTTTTTTCTTTTGTAGGGCCATGAGCCTAAAGAGCCAGAGCAGCTGAGAAAGCTTTTCATTGGAGGTCTGAGCTTTGAAACAACAGATGATAGCTTGAGAGAGCACTTTGAAAAATGGGGCACCCTCACAGATTGTGTGGTAAGACGTCAAATGCTTGTGCTTTTGGAAAGATACAGGTACTTAATATTAGTATAGTTATGCGGTGTCCTTTCTGCATTTTTGTAGGTAATGAGAGACCCGCAGACCAAACGTTCCAGAGGCTTTGGCTTTGTGACTTACTCTTGTGTGGAAGAGGTAGATGCTGCAATGAGTGCTCGACCACATAAGGTCGATGGGCGCGTGGTTGAACCAAAGAGAGCAGTTTCAAGGGAGGTAAGTTAGTGTTTGGGTTAACTAGGCGTGCATTGAGAAACATTCAAGCTGTGTTAAACACTGAACTTAATTTTTGTTTTTTGCAGGATTCTGTAAAGCCTGGGGCACATCTCACAGTAAAGAAAATATTTGTTGGTGGAATCAAAGAAGATACCGAAGAGTATAATTTAAGGGAATACTTCGAAAAATATGGCAAGATTGAAACCATAGAAGTCATGGAAGACAGGCAAAGCGGAAAGAAAAGAGGCTTTGCTTTTGTAACTTTTGATGATCATGATACAGTTGACAAAATTGTTGGTATGTAATCCCTTACGGAGAAGTGCCATAGGAGACAAACTTTAGTTCTCAGAAAAGCAATGCATGGAATGTAATATTTTTGTAAATCAGCAGCTTGGCAATATTTGCAAGAAATGGGGCAGATTTAATATTTAAACTATACTCATGCCTTATAATAGCATTTTGTTAGTGTTTTATGGTGTATTGTTTTTAATGTTTTGATTTTCTAACTTTCTGATTTTATGCTTATCTCTAGTTCAGAAATATCATACCATAAATGGACATAATTGTGAAGTGAAAAAAGCACTCTCAAAGCAAGAAATGCAGACTGCTAGCTCTCAGAGAGGTAAATTTAGAATTACATATGATAACTTTATAACACTGTTTTTCAGTTAATGTAAGCTATGGAAAATTATTTCTTAGGTCGTGGTGGTGGCTCAGGCAACTTCATGGGCCGTGGAAACTTCGGAGGTGGTGGTGGAAACTTTGGCCGAGGAGGAAACTTTGGCGGAAGAGGTAGGTGACCGGGATATTTCTCCAAATGCGACTTAATTTGCTATGTCTGTTAGCTTTAACACTTACCGTGTGTGCAGGAAAAAAATCTCATCTGTTTTGTGTTCCAGGAGGCTATGGGGGTGGTGGTGGCGGTGGTGGGAGCAGAGGAAGCTTTGGGGGTGGTGACGGATACAATGGATTTGGTGATGGTAAGTGGATTCCCCTCTATTCCCCACTCCCCCCTCTATTTTTTTTTTCCTTAATTTTATAACTAGCTTTAATTCTTTATTTCCATTTTGGAAAGCAAATCTGCTTTGCAGATCAGCTTTTTTACTCTCTTGAGAATCAAGAGTCAGAGGTTCTTGGATTTGTTTTGTTTTCCCTTCTCTCCTACCTCCCCTACTCTCCCCAAAAGTGGTGGGGAGCAAAAAAATCCCCTGCTTTCTGCCTTTATAAAGTAACCTCATATCATGAGGTTGTGCTTCATGTCATGAAGCAGCTTTGTAGCATTATTGGGAGCTACGCAATGAAGATTTAGATGCCAGCTGAGATGATGAAATCTGTGAGGTAATGCAGTGACCAGCTGTCTCTTTAAATGATCCCAGAACTCTTTAAAAACTGTAAGGCTTCTGATGGGTTGTTACTACCTTTTGCAAGGTGAAATTGGGGTGAGTGTTCAAGATGGGTCTGAAGGTGGCAGTGAACGTTGCCAAAGTCAGCTGTGGAAGCAGTGTTTTCACTGAAGCGATTGGCAAGGTAGCCTGTAGTGAAATACGTCCTGATTTTACAAGCAGTCATAGCCATGCTGAGTTCCCTGGGACTGTTTCCCAGTTCAAAACTACTCCTTAAGTGTCCGAGACCAGGTCACCACCTGTTGTTGTGTTAAACACTTTTTGGTGATTGGGAAAAGATCATCCAGCAGTTTTGACACATGTGTTAGCAAAGCTGGATGTCTAGATTAAATCTTTGAAGGGCTCTGCCTGCTGATCGCTTTCAATTTAGAGGTATGAAGAGGATAGCATGTAGTACTGGCAGAAAACCGCTAGTGTAAAGAGTTGATTAATACAGTGTGGTGGTGGTAGAATTATGTTCATTTTGCATGAGAAAAAAGGAAATTTAGTAATAACACTCCTAACATGGACAAATGTTTTCTATTTAGACCAGATAATGCAGGTAGCTAGTAATTGCTTTTGTTGTTTTTAAATAAGGAGCTTATCATACCAGTATTTAACTTTGACATGCTTAGTTTGACTCTCTCTTTTATTTATTTTGAAGGTGGCAACTATGGAGGTGGTCCTGGCTATGGCAGCAGAGGAGGGTATGGTGGTGGTGGAGGACCAGGATATGGAAACCCAGGTGGTGGCTATGGAGGTGGAGGAGGAGGATATGATGGCTACAATGAAGGGGGAAACTTTGGTGGTGGTAAGATGCCTACTCGGACATCCTTGTTCTTTTAAGTAGGGCCTCAGTTGTGCAGTGCCTCAAGTAGGATTGTACTGAAGTGTAATAGTAACAGAAAAGATTATATAACGTAAAGAAAGTTCTCTCCCCTTTGGAGAAGCCTTGATTAAACGACATGGCATTGCTTTCCCTGAAACTTGCATTTCAAGAAGCAGCAGCCATAAGTCTGGAGTTTGGAGGTGAAGCAGGAGAAAAGGGCTGGGGGGGAACTTTACAAATAGCAAGAGGAAGGGTTTCCCTGATGTTCAGCCCAGTTCAGACTTCCATGTGAGACTATCGCGTAGGTTTCTATTTTAACTTTTCACTTTTTGAAGGGCTCTATTGCCATGAGTTACCAGTTCATTCTAAATCGTCTTAGCCTTTTAAGTTTGTGCAAGTTTTTTTTAATTGTTTTCTTGTGAAATGAGTGACTCAAAGTCTATTAATAAAAGCAGCTTTTGCCAGACTATATCTGGCTGAACTTGCATTGAACTTTTAGTACTTGCTCTATAAAGAATTAGGTAATGTTTGCATGTTTTTAAGCCAGCTATTCTGTTCTGCTGCACAAGGCCTGTATGTACGGCCCTCCAGATAAAAAGGAGGGCATGTGGAGTGCTAGTGACCACAGTCCACATGGGCAGCTTGGGATGATGCAATGTTGCGAAATGTATTTGAATAAAGGCCAAGAGTAAGTTATAGAACTACTAAAGATAATAGTCTTGAGTGATGATGATTTCACTCCCCAGCATTAATGTTCTGTTAGTGCAGTGTCCTGGCAAAACCCTCAGTTCTTGAATACCACTTACTTGGACTAAAGAAACGCTGCTTTATAGCAATACTGTTTTACAGCATTAAATAGAGTAAAACGTTGATAAGTGATTAGCATCTTCCACTTTAATGTCTAACCAAGCAAAGCAGAGCTGCCCGTGTCCTGCTGAGCAATCAGTTCAGCATTGTTCTGTTCTTTGAGTGTTTTGTTTCTCTGATGGATGTGCTGATCCGAAGGGTTAATTCTTAAATTTGGAGCAGCTTCTGTGGAGGTCTGTTGTGACAGATGTGAGTTTTTCTCAGCTTAGTCTTTACTACAGTGGTTGGGGCAGGAGTAGAAAGAATTTGCAAGGACTCGTGCAAGTTTAGGGAGTAACTTTGCTGAACACTAATTTGTGCTGTATTTATTCACTGTGGCCCTTACAGTTCTATTGCTTTTGAGAACAAATATTGTGCGTGTGTTTTAAACAGCTATTGATTTTTATGCTGAATCCCTAATGTTGGGGGGCTTGTCTCTTACGTTAACAAGCTTCCCATCCTAAGCTTTGGACTTGGATGGATTTATGAATCTGCATTTTTTTCAGGTAATTATGGTGGCAGTGGAAACTACAATGACTTCGGCAATTACAGTGGCCAGCAGCAATCTAACTATGGTCCCATGAAAGGTGGTGGCAGCTTTGGTGGCAGAAGTTCAGGCAGTCCCTATGGTGGTAAATACATTTTATATTGAAAATCTTCTTGGATAAATGTTCTTAGCTACATATTTCAATATATATGTATTCTTGGTTTTTTTGTAGGTGGTTATGGCTCTGGAAGTGGAAGTGGGGGCTATGGTGGTAGAAGATTCTAAAAATGCTACCGAAAAAGGGTAGGTGTAATGCATGTTTATAATGATGATGCATAATGTACAACTGTTCACTGAGAGTAATAATCTTCTTATCCTGTATTCAACAGGCTACAGTTCTTAGCAGGAGAGAGAGCGAGGAGTTGTCAGGAAAGCTGCAGGTTACTTTGAGACAGTCGTCCCCAATGCATTAGAGGAACTGTAAAATCTGCCACAGAAGGAACGATGATCCATAGTCAGAAAAGTTACTGCAGCTTAAACAGGAAACCCTTCTTGTTCAGGACTGTCATAGCCACAGTTTGCAAAAAGTGCAGCTATTGATTCATGCAATGTAGTGTCGATTAGATGTACATTCCTGAGGTCTTTATCTGTTGTAGCTTTGTCTTTCTTTTTTCTTTTTATTTTCCCATTACATCAGGTATATTGCCCTGTAAATTGTGGTAGTGGTACCAGGAATAAACAAATTAAGGAATTTTTAACTTTTCAATATTTGTGTAGTTCAGTTTTTCCACATTTAGTACAGAGAATTCTATAACAGAAATAAAATGTAGTTTAGGGTGTTTCCTTGTTAGTCAATAGAGAGGATTAATGCATTTCTCAATTACTATTTTGTATTAATTTAAAGTTAACAATAGAAACACCTATTGATTTGCAGTCTTAAGGGGTCTAGTCTCAGTGTATATATGTAACTGTCATTGACATGAGTTACATAGGCATACAGAGGGAAAACATCTGTATGTTACATTATAGTTTGTTTAGATGTATAACTAGGATTGAGTTACTCAAATTAGTGTTTGTGAATTATAGAACTAAGCTTTACCTTCAAATGAAAATTTCAAATTACTTTTGGTTTGTGCATATTTTTTTAATTTGTAGCTCTGTATTAGTACTAGCGCTTCAAGAAAATAAGGCATGATAAATATTTTAACAAGACCAACTTTAGCCACATTCAAGCTGTCTCCAGTCTCATTTGAGATGTATAAGGAATAACTGCAGTCGCTCAAGTTTTGGGTGAAGAAAAAAGAAACTTGTTTTTTATCTCTCTATTTATTGTAATTCCCAAGAAGTTAAAGGGGTGTGTATGTTTGCGGGGGGGAGTCAAGTGCCTGTTTCCTTGGGGTATACGATGATTCTGTTGAATAAAATTACGCTGTGGGGAGGGGGGCTTGGAATTTCAATCTCCTTCCCCTTCGTTTCTCCCCGTTTCCCTCTCCCTCACACAAGACTGCCCTGTTTCAAGTAAAAGAGGTGTCATAGTGAGAGTTATAGGTATGTTCCAAAATAACTTAATGGCTATATACTTTCTTGCATGCACCCTAGGCAATTTTCTGGACACATTCTTCTGACTGGGAGCCAAGGGTAGCGCAGGTGTAATCCCTGACAGCCCCAGGTAACGCGTTCCCAAAGCCCCCTCGCCACGGGCTGGGTAGCATAGCGCTCGAGCTCCTCCCTTGTGGCTACCTACGCTCCCATAAGAGTGTGAAGATCAGAAGAAACACAACCTAGTTTGTATTTTACTGGTGAGAAGCACTTCCCACGATAGAGAACAAGATGTGGTACAGTCTTAAGTTTCCATAGGTAAAATGATAGCGTGTTGCAGTTGTGTTTGATACACTGGAGTAGCAAATCTTATCAGCACATATGGCTAGAAAAATTGTACTCAATTCTCACTGATGGCTTCCAAATTGAGACACTCCCATCTGTCCTTTTCTCAGCTGATCTGACTCTCTCTCGGCTATTGCCAGGACAGTGTCAATTTAGACGCAGAAGAGTAGGGACCCAGTCAATACAAGAAATGCTCAGACGCTTGGCAGTACGTGGTGGTGGTGGTGGAAATATTGTCACCTGTTTCACTTCTGGGTCAATGTGCAGTATAAGGTAAATGCAATTCCAGTGTAGGAATGAATCTGCAAAGATGTATGAAATGGCTCGAGTCATAATCAGTCATATTAATAATGAATTATAATTTTAAGCAGTAGAAAAATGAGTGTGTTATTGAAAAAAAAATTAAACAATGTTATTTAAACACTGTTATTGGAGTGTATTTAGACTGCAGTACACTAAAACAAGGAATCGCTGTCAAGATGGGTAGATCCAAACTGGATTTCAAAGTCTGATTATTATTTTCTGTGGAGTTTTTAAAATATCTAACCTAAAGCAAGAATTGGTGATTTAGTGAACACGCTTTTGTTGTTGTACATATTTATTAAGCTGGGCGTGGGATGGGGGGAGGTTGTATTTCAATAAAGGTATTTTTAAACAACCCCTTTGGAGTATGAAAACACATTGAGACCTTTAACACTTCTCACTAGGGAGTGAGTCACCTAATTACTGACTTGATCTGTACGTTCCTACACTTAGGAGAAGTGTAGACTTGCACCTGGGGCCTGCACCCTTCTGAAAACTGATCTGATATTTCTAAATTTCTTAGAATGTATTGACAGTGTTCTTTTTAACAGGGCCTCTTGTAGCTGTACTGTGACAACTGTTAACTTTGAAATATAGTGTCATAATAAACTATGAACAAGATCTGTATGCAACCTTTTAAGAGATGGAGTCTGTAAGTGACGCTGTGTAGATGGGTGGGATAGCTTAGCTGCTGTTTGTGATGTGGAAAAGCGCAAGCTGCAAGGACAGTGATTAACCAGTTTTAAAGAACCTAGGATGTACTTCTTTGATCCATACTTTGCTAAGGAGACTCATAAGACAGGACTTCAGCAGCCTATTGAGTATGGAGAAGTCAGCCTAATTACAGAATGACGAGGCAGCAAGAGCAACAGCTTCAACTCCAGAAAAGTGAAGGCATAAGATACTGTGCTGATAGTGAGCAGCTTTCCAAGGCTAGTTAAATCTGCTAATCACAGCTGAAATATCGAAGAAAGTCTAGCAAGAGTTCTTCACCTCTTGGAACCTCCTTGAGTGATAGCTACTTGAGTTGACTCAAAATCAATAGGTCTAGCATTTAGACCTGAAAGGAAGGGCAATGAGCATAGGTAAGGTTTGCCTTTAAAATTTTTCATGAATTAAAAAGAGTAGCGGGAGATTTTTTAACAAGGTAAGAGTAATTTCTTTAATTTTCAGGTTGAATGAAGCTGCTGCTTGACAAAATGGGGAATGTCTTGCACATCCTCTCCAATTGGAGGTTTCTGAATGGGTAAGATTTGTAGTGTTTAGTAAAACACTTGTTTAACCCTTGTTTTCTTCCAGGCTTTCCTTCAGCAGCCTTTTAACATGAAGGAAAGCCTTAAATATTAGCAAGTATGGAAGCCTGTGTCATCCAGTAATCGTTGGTCTGTGAGAGGCTTGTTTGCTGGCATAATCTGTGTTCAAGAAACTTGCATTCCTAATAGGTCCCAAACTGCTGTGTGGCCAAGACTTGGTAAAATGGGAATAAATGCTTAAAATAAATGCTGTCGTTGGGAGGAATGTGCAGTCAGGTTTTGAAAATTGCCTGTTAACCTGTAGTAAAAATGGAGGTGTTCAGGTGTGATGTAAGAAGGTTAAGACCCTTCATCACGTTGCACAGCCATGGGCAATGCAGTGCCGTGCTGCAGCAACCCAGCGAGAACACATTGCATCGAGTAAAACAGTTTTGTCCCACAATAAATGAGCTTGGCTTACCAAGTCATTCTGCTTCAGATTGCAAAGTGCTTTCAGAGTGCTGCAGCAGAGGCTGTTACTGCAAAGTGATGCCCAGCTGAAAGCAGAACTGCTTTGAATTGGATAACTAGCAGTGGGGCAACTTTTCATGAAATCCCCTTTAACACACATGCGTTCTTAACTCTTCTGTATATTACAGGCTGTCGTAGATATGGAATATTTTTGTTCTTAACTCTTTCCATCTAGCAATCTAGTACTTAAATTGTCAGCGAGATGGTTTTGAGTCTTCTAGTATTCTGTGAAGTAACTTCTTGTGTTGATTATGCTTAAGGTATTCCAAAAATGAAGTCAAATAGAGTGTACTTTTGCATCTCAATTTAACTTAAGGATATTCAGAGAGATTCCCACGTTTTAACTCATTACCTGCTGTATCTCAAGCATCTAGAAAGTGAGCTCTTGATATTGCAACATATGTACAATTAAAAGCTAGTTTCATGTAATTTCCACTCAAAATGTAGAGATTTTCCTATAATTAGGATGTTTTTATGAAATGGAAATTGCACAGTGACTGTATATATGTTTCAGTACCTTTTCCCCCCCTCCTTAGCCAAGGCTGAGCCAAAATTTAAAATGTTGCAGGGAGGTCCGTCCTGTCTTAAATTAGGCACCATGTTAGGCACCGTTTTGTTGTTCAGATGTCTGCCTGGTTTCTGCATCTTTGCCTTTCCAATGCAAATACTGTTTCATGGCCAGCACGTTCATTTCTCCCCATTGAATTCGACCCTAGTTTTGGCACTTGTTTAATGCATGCTCCATGGCCTCCTTGTACCCGGGGTCCGTCCCTAGAAGGGACGGTTTTTGCTGGTTGTTTTCAAATACTACTGAGAACAAAAAGCATGACACCGAAAATGCAACGGACGGGTTTCTATAGCAGCTGCTATTGAGAAACAAAGCCCCGGTCCCTAAGCTGCAGTACGACAGAAATGTGTTCGATGCCTAAGGATGTTTGTGAACTTACAAGCAAGTGGTATTTTCAGTAGTAAATGCATCTTTCTCCAAAAGGGACCCAGGATGATGCAGATATAAATGTTTTGTCATTAGAAAACGTTGAGATTAAGCACATGGTCCTAACCTGGATAACCTTGAGACCAGCAAGGCGGGAAGGGGGCTGCTCGTAGCCTGCCGTGCTGGCCGCGGTGCGCGCGGGCTCGTGCGTGTGGCGCCGGGACGCGGGTCTGCGCCCCACAGCGACACGCTGAGCGCTCCCGCGCGGCAGCCTCCTCCCCGCAAACACCTGTCCCTTACCTTGTGTGGAGCATGAAAGAGCTTGATTTGCACTAAACTGCACGTGTCTGATAGATGATTCTTTTTCTGCTGTGGGTGCTACAGGTTGACATCTCTATCTAAGATTAGCTTTTTCCTGAACTAAAGTAATCCAACTATCACCATAGAAGAAAAGTGGCCTTCATGTAGAAGATAATATCGCAAGATTGGAAACAGAATAATGTATTAAAATACCTGGCAAAGACTTCAAGAGCAATGGTGCTAATGTGGTGAAATCTTAATACTTGTGGTTAAACAAGTTTAAAAATAGCATGAATATTACAAACTTCAGTATAGTCCATAATGGATTGAAATTTGTTAAAATACTTCATTTTTGTATCAGAATAAAGTGTATATTGTCAAATGACTTAAACCTGGAATGTGTTGTCATCACCTTTGTTGTTACCACTCTGAAGAGCACAAAGAGGTCTAAGGTTATTGCCTCAAACTGAGGAATGCGGTCGCCTTCCCATGCGCCTTAACTTTAGCTTTAACATCTTTGCAACTAAGCGTTTTGGCCAACACGAATCATCTCCGCTTGGAGCCTGTCAGCGTGCGAGGTGAGGACCGGGCGGCGTTAGGATCAATAGAACTTGGCACTGCTGCCAGTCCTTCCCAGGTTGGAGTTTTCCTGTGTAAAAATTGTATGTTGTGGCTTTGTTTCCCCCCCTTCATTTGGCTGCGTATTTCAAGGCGAGTGCAGCAGTCATTGTGTTCATGGCATGGAAAGTTTTAAATTGCAAGTGTCAGTGGTAAAAGTGTGAGTTACTGCAGAATGTTTCTTTGATGGAATCCAAACAGGGCTTGTCTGCTGTGTAAGCTTTCAGCTTTCTCCTTTTGGGTTTTTTTTTCTTTTTTTTCTTTCTTTTTTTTTTTTTTAACTGCTTTTCTTATTCTGGTAACAGAATCGTTCTTCCCAGTATTTGGTTTTAAGCAAACAACAACCCCCTGTGAAGGCTGTAAGGGCTTTGCCTAGGGCTATTGCTTTAGGGGGCTAAATTAAAACAGGGGCCTCTGAGATCTCTGTTCTGCAGCTAATTTGTGGTTTAGATACTGATCTTGTGTCTAGGTGGACCAGAGACATTTAATAGCCTGCTAAATAGGAGTTTTCCCTTTGTAGTGTTTTGTTGGTTCTCTGCCAGCAAACCAGCCTGTCTTGGAGCTGCCGTATCGATCTCGAGGGACGGGTCAGGCCTGTAGCTCTGGGCGCTTCCTACTTAACGCTTGGGCTCCAAACTGCCGTCCTGGAGCAAGAGCCTCTGCCCTGCTCCTAATGCGCCGAACCTGCCCGTTCCTGCGCTGCTGGCTGTCCTTGGAGCGCTCGTCCCGGGCCGTGTTGGTACGAGCGCTCCCAGGCCTGCCCGTTCCTGCGCTGCTGGCTGTCCTTGGAGCGCTCGTCCCGGGCCGTGTTGGTACGAGCGCTCCCAGGCCTGCCCGTTCCTGCGCTGCTGGCTGTCCTTGGAGCGCTCGTCCCGGGCCGTGTTGGTACGAGCGCTCCCAGGCCTGCCCGTTCCTGCGCTGCTGGCTGTCCTTGGAGCGCTCGTCCCGGGCCGTGTTGGTACGAGCGCTCCCAGGCCTGCCCGTTCCTGCGCTGCTGGCTGTCCTTGGAGCGCTCGTCCCGGGCCGTGTTGGTACGAGCGCTCCCAGGCCTGCCCGTTCCTGCGCTGCTGGCTGTCCTTGGAGCGCTCGTCCCGGGCCGTGTTGGTACGAGCGCTCCCAGGCCTGCCCGTTCCTGCGCTGCTGGCTGTCCTTGGAGCGCTCGTCCCGGGCCGTGTTGGTACGAGCGCTCCCAGGCCTGCCCGTTCCTGCGCTGCTGGCTGTCCTTGGAGCGCTCGTCCCGGGCCGTGTTGGTACGAGCGCTCCCAGGCCTGCCCGTTCCTGCGCTGCTGGCTGTCCTTGGAGCGCTCGTCCCGGGCCGTGTTGGTACGAGCGCTCCCAGGCCTGCCCGTTCCTGCGCTGCTGGCTGTCCTTGGAGCGCTCGTCCCGGGCCGTGTTGGTACGAGCGCTCCCAGGCCTGCCCGTTCCTGCGCTGCTGGCTGTCCTTGGAGCGCTCGTCCCGGGCCGTGTTGGTACGAGCGCTCCCAGGCCTGCCCGTTCCTGCGCTGCTGGCTGTCCTTGGAGCGCTCGTCCCGGCCGTGTTGGTAGGGGCGCTCCCAGGCCGCGGGTCCTCCCGCACTCGGAGCGGGGGCGCTGCAGTTACGAGCCCCAGGTGGGCAGAGGAGCAGACATGTTGGGGAGGCAGGAGGGGGCCGTGCACACGGTGAGTACTCTGGAGCGCGAGCTGTATCACCCGGGGACTGTGTTTTCCACCGTGTTTTCCACGAGAGCATGAGCGCGACTGCCTAGAGCGGCAGCGTTCCTGGTCTGCCTTGGTCCGGGGAAGCTGCGGGTACCATCTTGCAAGCAACTGAGCTGTCTAATGTCCACATGTAATAAAAGGGGAGAAGTCATTCTTCTCCCTTTTCCATGTAAAATGAAAGAATAAAGATCTCTCTTTTCAGATGTGCTTTGTTCTTCCTCTGTGGTGTTCAGGAGATTGAAACTTATGATTGAGTGTTCTTTGGCCTTAAGTTTTGAACTCTTCACAGGTGCTTTTGAGAATGCTTTACTTATGAAAAGGGAGAGAATAATTGAAAAAAAAAAAAAAAAAAAAAACTTGTACACAGAGGTGTGAGAAACTTGGTTTTACCTGTTTCCCCCCCGCAATGTGCTTATTCACTCCTTCCAAACTTTGTCTGCTGGTTCAGATATAAACATGTGCTGGGGCAGGACCTCCCTTCGGAAAGTTTCTGGTAAGTAACACAGTATTAAAAGCTACCTGAAAGACAAGAACCTGGTGTGAGTTTATCACCTGCAGGGAACAGGCCTGGAGCAGCTGAAAGCCCCTGGGCAGGGTAGGTAAAAGGGGCTTTTTCCTGGTGCTGGTGCTCGGCCCTCCCCTTGCCTTCCACAGAGGGCAGAGCCAAACAGGCCTGTGGTTCCTGCAGTGCTGCACAGCGACCTTCTTGCTCAAGGTGTTTTGAGCTCCCTCTTTGCTTTCCCTTTTCTGGTCAGCTAAGGCTGGGGAAAAGGAGTGGAGCGAGTATCTGCGCGAGAGGTGGGAGGGAGGCGTCTGCTCATCAGAGCCTCTGTACAGGGGCTGATGAGGGGTCAGAACAGGGTCCCTGACACAGCCGGGAAGGCTGGACATGCTGTGGAGTCAGACTCCTCCACAAGAGCTGCTTCTGAAAAGGGGCACTGATGCTGCTGTGCTTGGGCTGCGAAAGGTGACAGTCAGTGCACGCAAGATCCACAGGTCAGCACTTACCTTTAGGAAAAGAGGTTCCAATTTAATTAATACCAGAGAAAATTGTATAAAACAGCAGCTCAGTGCTCAAAAATGTAAGTAAAATATTAAAAGTTATGAGACAAAATAAGTAACATGCAGCCTAAGGCCTGAACAGCTGTATCTTGACTCTAGCACCCAGGTCTTGGCATACACCCACAGGAGAGCTGCAGAACGAGGCAGGTACCCAAATCATTTTTTTCCTAACGAGGATCAAGTTAACACACAACCTGGGCCAAGCTGCACGTGCGGCTCCCTCGGCTGCGCCCTGCTGGAAAGGGGGGTGCCCAGGGGCCAGACCGGCCTCCCCGTGCGGCAGGTTCTGCTCCCCGGGAGCCCTCAGCCCCCGGGAGCTTCTGCAGCGGCCTCCGCGCCAGGGCCCTGAACCAGCTGCTCTGCTCCAGCCAGGGCCAGGGCTGGGGATGGCCCTGCCCTGCTGTGTGCACAAAAACCTTCCCTTCACCAAAACTCATCAAATCAACTAAGGACTTGCAAAAAATATCAGGTCCTTTAACAGCAAGTAACTCCGTTTCAACAATTGAAGCCTTTTCCCTACCTTAGTTAGAAGATCACAGGGAAGATATTAAAGATGAGACTTTAATGTCCAGATCAATGTGTCACTGTAAAGAAATACTGCAAGTGTTTCCAATTACAAACTGCTTTATATATTTACATGAAGTAAGTCCTCTGTAATCAAGTACACGAGTCTTTTGAAGAGTAACCAAACAATTCTACTTGTTTGCCCCAATTTTTATTCTTACAAATCATAATTTCAAATCCTGCAACTTCATTATCGACTGAGCAAAGGTCTGGGCTAGGGCAATGGGCTGGTGCTGTGTCACACTGTGTAACCTCAGATGCAACAGCAGTGACAAAGGGTGCTTGTTAACCTGAGATGCACAGAGCTTTTCTGGAACAATCAGTGAGAAATGAACAGGATTTTTGGTCGGAAAAATGCATAATGCTGACAGTGGTTTAATTAACAGACTTTAAATGTCTCTGGGGAGAAGATACCATCATGAGTTTATGTAGTGTTCAAAGAATAAAACAAAAATTGTCACGTGCACCCGAGAGAGCTGAGATGTGTTTGCTCCACTGTCCTTCCGCAGGGATCTGAACCGGCGCCAGGCCCAGGAGCGGGACGCGGCTCCCAGCGCCAGCGGTTCTGCTGCGCCAAGACTCAACCTTAGAAAATCACTGGCGATGTTTGAATCAGCAAATAACCTACTTCAGGGAAATAAATGTGCATGAAGTACAGTAAAAAAGTTTAATGAACTTTAAAACAAATCAGAATCATAATTTGCCAACTTTTACCCTAAATTATATCTTAAATATAAAGCAAGTATAAATGTATAAGAAAACGGGAAACATTACTGCATATTTATAAAAAAAGGTATCAGAAGCCATAGGGGTTGTATTGCAAGAAATTATATTTAGAATGCTAAAATCATTTCTTTATATATCAAATCTATGAATATAACAAGAGATAGGAGCAGTATATAAATATGGTGTCTTTAAATATTTACATGTATACGGAAACTAGTCAAAGTGGTACTATAAGAAAGAAATGTCTGTTATAAAAGTGAGATTACAAATTTTGCATACGTACATCTGCATTACACTATTAGTTTTAAACCTGCATCTTCCATAAACCAGTTATTAACTTTAGAATTACTTTTGCATAGAATCATTTAAAAAATATTACCCAATTCTGCATTCCATCTCACAGTAAAATCTATCCGGATAACAATACAAAAATAACAACTGAAGAACAGTAGCCAGCTGTGCTGCTCTTCAGAATTTAGTCTCCGACTTCTTGCTTTTAGGAACAAGAAAGACGTTACCATCCCTAGTTTGCTGCAGTGAATATTCACTAGGAGAATAAGACTTTCCATCCTCATCACGCAGCATGCTGAAGACCTCAAGGTATAAGGTGGTAAGTTGCTTTTTCATTTGACGAAGACTTTTGTCATTCTCTCCTTTTTCTTTAAGCAATTTCTCTTTCTCGTCTTTTAGGTTACTCAAATCTTGCTCCAGTTCCACTCTATTTTCCAGTTTTCTTTTACGGCAGTTCTGAGCAGCCACTTTATTCTTGCCCCTCCTGCGTATATCTCGGATAAGCGCCAGCTGGGCCTCGCTGAACTGCTCCTTAGACATCATTTCATTGAAGTCGTCAACAGGGAGATTGATGATTTTTTCTACAGGAAAGGGGATCTGCAGAGCTTTTGCTCGTTGCTCATCTCTGGTGAGAGGAGCTCCAGGGCGGCTGGCGGGTTTGTCCTTTGCAAAGGGAGCTTTGGGGTGGCCCGGGCTGGCGGGCGGCTCCTTCTTGGGCGCGTTGGCGTAGGGCAGCGCGGGGCGCTGCGGGCCGGGCCCCAGAGCGCAGAGCGCGCGCTCGGGGAAGGGCCGGGCGCACGCGCGGGCGCTGCTCGGCGCCGCGCTCCCCGCAGCGCCGTCCGCCTCCTCCAGCTCCGAGTCGCTGCACCCCAGAGCCTTATCTCCGAGCACAGAGGATTCAACAGAGGGCTCGGGCGACGCGATACTGGAATTGGCGTTCAGTGAGATACCAGAGTCAGAATCGTTACATTCTGGTGCAGTTCCTGAGTGGTCACCATTAAAGGCTTTACATAGAGAGAAGCTGGAAAGATCTATAGGTTCACTTAGAATATCCACAAGTGACTGACTGATAGTGTTTGTTGTGGCAGTGTTACTGTTCTCCTTTGTATGAATAAAGGTGGCATAGAAATCCTCACAGAAATTAGAGCTCGAATTAGAGGTGTGATTTAAAGAGTTTCCACTCAACTGGCTGGTGTCTTCCGGTGGTAAAATGTTGGAAAAAGGACCTTCAATACTATGCAGGAAATCTGGACCACAGGTAACATCTTTCTTCATCGTAGATAATGAGTTGTAGTAATTATAGCTGTTGTGCATCTCTGTTGACTTTGGTTCTGGGCTTGTGATCGTGCTTACCTCACCCAGGTTATCGTTCTCAATGTTAAGACACTGCATGAGAGAAATAAAGAAATTCAGCAATCCATCACCAATGGACAACAAAATCTTTTTATATAATCCACAAACATTAAATTTTAGCCAAGCAATGTGCACATGAAATGGGCATTATCATGCTGCTGTGACCTAGATTGCCAGAACACTGTTCTACTATGGAGAGGCAATCTAGGAAAAAGACTGTAGACACCAGAGCAGAGTATAAGGCAACAAGCTCTGCACAAAGCTACCTTGATTAAGCCAGCAGAGCCTGTCAGTCACAGCAAGATGCTGAAGACCCATTCCAGCACACTGAGGCACAGGGATATTTCATGGAGCCTCCTGCTCTGCTAAAGTGCTCTCAGGAATCCTGGAGCTCTCCCAAGCACTGCTGCTAAATAACGGTGTCAATAAGTGAGTGTAACATGAGCAAATGTGATGTACTGAGTATTACTAGTGAATCGTGATTCTCAGCAGTCTTTAGTTTCATATCACAAGATTAGTTTCTTCAAAAGATAAATTATTTTAGGTACTACTGCATGAAACAGCTGTTCGGTGCAGAGAAGTGTAATTCTCTGTGAAGTAGAGCGCACTAGCATTAAGCCTTACAAACATTAATGCACCCCACCTAGTTTCAGTTAAGCTGGCTATCGTCACCACAACTGCCTACACCTCTGACACTGATGGCCTTTCTTGGGCTGCAGGAGCAATGTTCTTTCCACCAGGGTGGCAGTATCTTAACCGAAGCTGAACCAAGTGCCTGCTGTCCCCGCGGGACTGGACAATCACTGAAACGAATCCGTCTCTCTTAAGAAGGGACCACACACTGATTCATTTAAATGAAGATCACACAAGGCTTAAGGTTTTGAAACAGTTTTCTTCAAACATAATTAAACCGATGGCCCCTTCCTTCTATGAATTACCTTACTTCTTTTTGGAAGATTATTCAAAATGCTATTTAGAATTACTGCAACGGGTGATTTTTCTTTTGATTTTATATTTGCAGTTTCACTGCTGCCTCTTTGCAGTTAAATTGTTCCTGTGTGAGGCTTTTAATCCTATCATCACAACCATAAAGATTAGAAAACTAGGACATTTTTTAAAACTACAAAGATTAAGGAAATAGGACAAGTAGAGAAAAGATGCAATCCCCAAACATTTTTTTAAGTATGATTTAGATTGGCAGGAGTTCCATCAAGCATTCATTTCTTGTGTTAACAACATCAAGTAAAGCAATGTCATGCTGCAGCACCACAACGTCTTACAAAAATAGATGAAAAAATAAATCTACCCAATTTTATAGTTGACCTAAGTAAAAATGTAAGTAAAATCATAATAAAGGTAGGAAAAAAACAGATGCCCTTTGTAATGCACAATTTAGGAATATAGGAAAATGATTTTCAGGCTGCTAATTGTTCCTTGGAAATATTAATTTCATGTACATTACACAATTAGTTCTTATTGTATATATATACATAAACAGTAGTTACACGAAGAGCCATATAAACATACACACACACACATAAATATATAAAAGAGATGCCTATCTCTTTTGTCGCCTTTTTTCCAAAACCTTTCCCCTCAGACAGAAGTTGAGGACAAAAACTAAATGAAAGTAACCATAAATGATTTACAGAATCTGTTTAAATACTGTCAAAAACACATTTACAGCAATGCTTGTGAAAACAATTCCTGCTGTTATAGGATCCACAGTTCAGAAGTACCATTTTATATTCACCATGATCATGCTGTAATACTGTATTTAGTGGGTTGCATTCAGAGGCGAATATCAAACATGGGGAAGTTCTGGTTGGGAAGACAGACTGTTTTACTACAGCATTCTGATAGACAATCAATTTTCTTTCTGTATGTATTCGTTAATTTAGTATTTTTTTAAATTAAAGCCAACACCTTTACCTGCAACTCAGGAAGGGACAATAATTCTTCCCAAACTTGCTCTATGTCCTGCATATTCTCTGCGTCAGTAAGTGAAACTAAGGCAGGTGATTCAGGTGATTCAACTTCAGGCTGAGTTTGATTAGAAGACATGAAGACTGGACTACTATCCATCTGGGCAGGAACCAGTGACTGAAATGTAGTAAAAGAAACCTGGAGTATTTTAAAAAGTATAAACGGCTTAGAATTGTCTGAAGCAAAAGACTGTTCTTGGTGTTCTACCCTTTCTGCAAAAGGGGCAGAAGTTGTTTCTTAACGAAAGCATTTCTTGTAAATAGTTGTATAATATGGAAGTATTCCCATGAAAGCAGTTTTCATATTAAATTTTATAAAGTAGAGAAAAAGCTACCAATTGACTGGTGAAGGGCTTACCTTTACCACATAAAATAGTCTGGGACAGCATGCTGAAGTAAAGCAACTCAAATATCCCAACTCCAGATAGCTGAACTATGCAAGTGACCCAACCACAAAATTCCCCTAATGTTATTTGTAGCAACTGGAATGACTGCCATTAGCTGTGGTCATAAACTGCATGCTGACTGCAATCCTAGGGAAACACAAGGAACATGAGCACCACACCACCCACGCCAGTGCAGCCTTGCTTTAGGACTCCTATAATGCTTTATTTCTGTTGGGAGTTGGTGTGGGATATAGCTGAAGCCATATCACAAGCTAATAGCATGGTTGTGACAGATCTTAATAAGAAATAAGATGGATCTCCTCAAGGAGCAGCCACGAAACACAGCATTTACCTCATTGTCATCTATGAATGGGAAGGCTTCTGCCAAGAGCTGCATGCAGTCATCAAAGGACAGGGCTTCTGTTTCTGGTTTCGAAGTATGTGTGCTCTAAATAGGAAAGGGAAAAAATATCTTCGCATTTTTGAATAACTGAAGAATCTTCCATTACAGCAAAGAATGCAAATTAATTGTAAGTAACCACTAACACTATGTCTTCCTGTGAATGGAAAGAGCTTTGAAAATGTTCACAAATACATACAAAAGTTTACCTGCGAAAAACTGTCTGGTGGCTCAGTATTTTCGGACTCGACACGCTGATCTGGCTGAATTGGAACAAATTCACCTGTCTCTTCGTCTAACTGCAGCTGAGCAAGCAAGGCTTTCTCCTGCTCTTTTTGGAGCTGCTCTTGTCTTTCCTTTTCAAGTTTCTTCTGTTTCTCAAGTTCATACTCCTTCTGCCGTTGACTAAAATCAAAAACTTCACGCCTTGCCCCAAGGTCTATATCTTGCCTCCAAAGAATGTCAATCAAGTTCATATCCTGTAATAGAAAAACGTTTTTAAAGCAAGCCTCCTTCCCAGTAAAGCTGGTTTAGAACAATAGCAAGTCTCTTTAATTTTGTACATTCATGCAACTGAGGTTTAGACTCCTAATCCTACCAAATGAACCAAATAAATGTGACTATATGCCCTTTCTGAATGGCACGACCCGATGGTTTGCTTGCCCTGGCCCCCACACAGGCTCACAGGAACAAAGCAATTAGTTATAGTTAGTTAAGGTAACATATGAACTAGCCAGAGGATAAATTAATTTTTCTTTCCCAATTAGCTAACAGAAAACCAAGTTATAGTCAGAATTATGTGACTTCATTAAGAAAGTATTTTTTAAGAGAAAAATTGAAAGTTGAAGAGTTTGCTCATGTAAATTCTTTCAGTATGATTTAAAAAAATGTAAAAGTTGACTAAAAAGCTGACATGGCAGGAAACACGGATGAAATAACTATAATAGATATATTGCAAAATGCATTTTAAGATATTTATGTTCCATCACAGTATTCTGTATTAATGTTAAAAATCAGCAGAACAGTGATACAAAGCTGGAAGAAAAACTTGTTTCAGAGTCACCAAATGACATAACATCACTGTAGCAATAAACACAGTTATTGAGACCAATTACTAAAAATTTGTCATCTAAATCTTAGTCCAAGTTGCCATTCTAAACGTGGCCAACTTGCAACAGTCGAGTATAAGTTAATAGGTGTCAAATCTTGCTAATCAGTTAGGCTCTAGCTCATCACAGAGTCGGTCATTTATCGGACTGCTAACAATGAGCTAAATTTCCTGTAAATCAGTCATCCTCTGTATACTTAAATACAGCTATAATGTTTCAGAAGACAAAGCAACCTCTGCAATCTAGGGAAAATCATCCAGTTTATATATTTCATCTGTCTACGATCACTTTCAATTAATTGTATGGGATTTTTTGTTCTGATTTGCTACTGAATGTCCAATCACTCAGTATTTCTAAGGGCTTTCCTATGAAGAAAATCTAGTACTCAGCAGAACCATCAATCAGGCTGTTAGCTGATGGAGAATTTTAATACTTGGTGGCCACTTCTCAGGTTTGGTTTTTTTACCCATAAGTTTTAGCAAGTGTCTGGGAGTTACAAATTCATGGAATATTTCCCTATCCTTAAAATTTTACAAAATTAAAAATAAAAAATGCTGCTAAACCTTTTTGCAGCAGTGTGCAGAAATAATGCTTAATGCTTAATGAACTTGCTCATCAGGTTAGCACGCTCGAAGTTATAAGCCAGCATTTCATTTCACAGATCTTTACTGATTCAGTTAGCAGTTCTAGACCTGAAGTAAATTTAGCATAACCACAGTGATCCACCATAGGAAAAACAAAACATTCCCTTATCTCTAACGACTGTTTTCAAACAGAGAAGCACAGTAACCTAAACACCAAGTCATGTTGCCATTCAAAATGATAACCTCTCTACAACGTTTATGGCAAAAGGGTTTAGTGCAAGCCAGTGTCTGAGCAAACCAATTCAAAATTCTCGTTTCCTCATTAAAGATTATACACTATTAACATTCACATTTATATATCGCAAGAACTATTTCTACTAGTTACTAATCACTTTTTTAAAAAATCAGACAGTTAAATAAAATGTCATACAATGCAGGCACCTCAGGCACATACAACATGCTTTGCTGTGAGACCAAACTCAGCTTTAACGGCCAGCAACGAAGAAGTGAAATACTTGCAGTGGCTGTCCAAGACCACGTTTGGTCTTTCCAGATTGGCAGAGTAAAATGAACTAATTAGGTTCTGCAGTAATTGAAGACATGGCAATATGGTAGAGCTTCATTAAGGGCTAGTAGTTTACCAGCTGCTCATTGTCTCCTCCTGCAGCAGATTCAAAACCGTTTCCTAGTTTTGGAGCATTTGCAATATGTTCTGGATAAAACTGCAGGATCTGGATTTTAGGGCTCATTTCTGAATTATTCATTTATAGGGCACCCTTACAAACATGACTCAAAAGATGTGCGTGCATGTGTGAGTGCACGCGCACACATATAATACACAACCTTGTGTATTAACAGAGTTGGTTTTTCTCCCTGGTTCACAACAGACTACTGAACAGGAATAGAGTTCACACACACACAAAAAACAAGGCTGGGGGGGCAAGAGATCTAAAAAAGGAGATAGAAACATTTTCCCTTAGGAAGAAAAATATGCAACCTTAATGCAAAACTTTAAGGTACAGCTCCTGAATCTATTGGACATATTTGTTATCAAAACAAGTATTTTTAAGTGCTGCCTTATTTATGGGATGGCACACATCAGCTGGCAGGAGAAATGGCTCAGGTGTACATAGCCTCTGTATCTGCACATCAGTCTACTCACAAGCAATGCTGCTTTTCAGATCAGACTCAAATTAATCTGCCTGCCTCGTATTGAGGATGTTGAACTGTGTCTGAGGGGAAAAAAAAAAAGTCACAGTATTGTTGCCCTTTGAAAAATGATGATGTGAGGTAATCATTTAGTCCAGTATGTCCTCTCTGGCAAATGGCCAGAGCTTTGTTAGAGAGCTGTGTTTTACCCTGGAGAGCACTGTCTGTCAGAAACACCTTTTTCTTTTTCGGTTGTATGTGTGACACTGAAAACCAGTATTGTTTTTTTTAATTATCAGTATATAATTAGGAAAAGAGCCTTGCTATTTTTACCTTGAAAAGTTCTATATATACTCATATTATCCTTAAATTCTAGCAACATAATTATGCTTTGTGTGAATGGGTTGCATGTAGCAAGGGTTCTTCTACTGAGCATGCCATGATGTAAAATACTTAAAGAATGTGTTGATTTAATCTAACCTGCCATTTAATGCTTATCTATAATTGCTCTTCTCAAGAAAGTACAAAGTTTGGGGCGTTAATACAAAGCCTCGGGTAAAAGTTAATGGAGACAACACTGACCAGTGATTCACTGACAAATGAACCACAACCCCAGCATAAGGTAGTGGCAAAGTGAGGAAAAAAAATCAGGCTAAAACAAACATACTGCAATTTTGTTCCTTCAGCCTCCCCACAACCGCCCTGAACTTAGCTCTCACACACACACAGATGCATATAGGCACTCTATGTTAGTTTTAACACCAAAACATTTTTTCCCTTTCCATGGTGAAAGGATTGCAAAAGTGACTGTGCATTCAATGTCTGAAGTGCTTAACTAAAGCTACCAAAAAGTACCAAGTATTGCCTGTGCCATAGCTACCCTCTCATTTTTAGATGGCTTGACATGATACTAGAATCAGAAAGATTCTCTGGAAGGGGAGCAGGGGAACAGCAAGTCCAGATGAATATCCAAAACAGAATATCTGCACCAAGAATCCTCTGCAAGATCTGCCTAGGCAAAGGCTTGTGACTGTATTTCAGAGCCAGGCTAACCACTTCCCCTAGCATCATGAGTATTTACTGTAAGGGCCCCAGCGGCCCATCATGTGACTTAGTCCACAAGTGCCCGTTTGTTCTTTCCTCTCTTGTGTAATTTTTTGAATTGCATCAGAGGAAACGATTTCTTTGGCAGCAGCTGAAAGGAGCGCAGGAAAAGCCGGTTCTCCTCGGCACGAGGAAGTAGGGCTGCTAGCCGAAAGGGATTTCAGACGCAATGTTTTCCCCTAATTTAGAACCCAGGTCTTTCCCATCGAATACCAATCGCTGTTTGGGAGGAAGTACATTAAGGTATTTCATGTATGTATTACCATTATCTAAGTGCCTAACTTCTGGCAGAATCGTATGTTTCAAGGACTTTTTCCCTAGCAAGCTGGTCATGATTGTGTTTACTTTATTGACAATTCTGCAAATAGAGAAAGAATTTCTCTCCCCAGGCCCAAACTTGCTCTGCTTTCCCAGGAGCCACAGAAGCAAAGGGTGCCTCCTACTCATGCTTTGGTTTTTTTGTTCATTTAGTTATATGCTCTCCCCACTACACTGATAGCCTAGTTTGGACTTATAACGGCAGTTTTAATAAGATAAACCTAAATGTTAAACAATTCACATTAAACTACCATCTGGTCCCCAATGGAAATTTTCATGTTTTAGATTTACATATCAGCATTTGCCATCTGGGCAGAGTCTGTTATACATTTTATGAGAAAATCTCTGACTATATTGTAAAGTTTGACTATTAACTCTTATTGCTCCTAAGCAAACAAATTTGCAGTAGGGTAAACAAAGGAAAGGGACCCTATTTTTGCGTTACTCTCATAGACTGAGTTTTGTGCTGTAAATAAAACACCCATCTTTCTGTTTCACCCCTGTTTGGTTTACCTAGCTGGTTTTGTTCTTGTTTGAAATATGGGCCACTTACAGGATAGAGTTAGCAAAGCAGGAACATCAGTAGGGAAACAATCTGGTATCTCAGACAGAGTTTTCAAATTGTTACTAATTCCAGAGCACATCCTTCACACTTTGTGTGTGTGTGTGTGTGCATATATGCTTTTTAATGTCATACCTTTTCCAGCATTAACTGGGATAATATTAACCAACCATCTCACAAAGACTTGTCTTGCTTTCCCACGATCCATTAGAACCTAACTTAAAGCAAAGATAAAAGCTCACACACCGGGATGGATAAATGCAGAAGCAATCACTAGAAATTGCATCCTCCAGAAGCTCAGAAAGGGACCCCTCAAGAAGCAGAGAAACACTCCTACAACTTATTAGGAGGAGACATGGGAAAGTATCCCCAAATTCCTATTTGCCTTTCAGAAAGTGAAAGGAATGAACAAAAAGCATCTCAAACAGTGTGGTAGGATCAAGGCTCTGTGCCCCAGGTCCAAGACAAGAAAGAAGTAATAAAGACAGGAGATGTAACAGAAGGCACTGGAAGCACTTTTTAATATTTAAGAAAAGATAGCAGAAGCAAAAGCTAAATGCTTTTCCATCATTACCTTCAAGATGAATTGATTTTTTGTATATTAGGATTTATGATGTGTGTATGTGTATATTTTAATATTACAGATCTTGTAA